GGCGCGCGTGGCTTTTTTTCCAAGCCCAGGAGGCCCGGGAGGAGTTGGCGGAGAAGGAGAAGGCCGCGGCCAGCTGCGCCTTTCTGCACTTGCCCTCCGAGGCGCCCAGCGCACAGAGCGCTCTGGCGCGCCTGCCCTGAGCGATCTGAGCGGCACTGCGGTACGGATTCCGGCGGAAGGTGCGGAGGTCCGGAGAACGCAACGGGTGAAAAGGCGAGCCCCGAAAATAGGGGCGGAAGGGGCAGGACATTGAAGATTCCCAGGATGGTTCCTGAAACCAGGGAAACCTGGCGGAGTATGAATCTTCGATGGCGATGTTGTTTTAGACACGATTCCTGGATGGATCCCATTTTGCCGAAGGCAAGTTGCCTCTAGGCTGTGATGTGAAGCAAGTGATAGCTTTATGGCGCTATTTGGTACCGGATCTTTGGACTTTCAATTGTTGGAATGCAACAGGCCGGATTTTCCAGACAGGATCCACAAAAAGTGCGCGACTTGTGGCAGAGGGGTCAACCGCAACCGAGGTTCCAGGAGTTTTCTTCAATTGAACATGAGCCAAGTTTGCTGAAACTGATGGTGGGCAATTGAAAGGGACACCAGAGATTTCGGGGCTATTGGGTGCTCCTCGCCTTCTTGTCCAAGTTTTTCCTAAGCAGCGGTTGTCCCCGGTTGGTTTTAAAGGGAATCTATGTACTTCTATTTGTTCAAAGGGTCCTAAGCCACGGCCACCTCCCGCAGCGTTGCAGTGGTGCGCAGCCGTTGCCAGCGCCGGCGGGCCATGAGGGCAAGGGTGTTGGCTTGCGATCTCACGAGGAAGGTGAGTGGAGGGGACCCTAAGCGGGTTGCAATAAACTGGCTCTAGCTTGCATCAAGGGATCATGTGTGTAGCTTCCTAGAACCAGGGTCACCCAATGAATGTTTGTTTCTTAAGGTTTTCGCCGGATTTCAGGTGTGAAAAGCAGACATGTTGCCAGAATTGGATTGCGCATCTTACCTTTGCAAAAAAAAACAACAACAACAACAACAAGTGAGGACATCATGAGGTCCAACAAGCTGCCAAGCCGCCGAGTTTGTTTCTTCATGTTCTTTACATCACCTTCTCGATAGCTCATCCAAGCTAACCTTTCTGGGAGTTCCGCACGGTTCCTTTTTTTCACATTTGGCTGGTGCCTTCATCATTTCTGGAGCTTGGTGTCCCTTGGCACGCGATTCTTATGGCGCGTTTTGCCCGTGGGCGTCCACATCGCGTTTAGAGCTTCCACATTCTGTTGCTTGGGGTTGCCACCCTTTCAGAGGTCGTTTCTGGGGTAAAGAAGCACCTGCTTCCGTAAATGTGGTGTCCGCACACTGGAAGCTTGTCCCCCCTGTTTTCCGTGTTTCAACCCCGTTTTGTCCATAGATCAACCAACTTGGGAGTTGTTCTTTGTTTGTCTGTAACAAAGAGACAACAGTTGCAGACATTCGAGCTGGGCGACGCATTTCAAACTGCAGTCACGATTCGCACATGTTCCTGTTTGAAACTCTTGGCAATTGTCTTTTGCACCGATCCCTAAATAATAACAAAAGGGAACTAGTTCCATTTCCATGTCAAAACCTGGTTGTAGCCCAATGCTCGGCCCTTTCTGCCAGAGCCATCCGAAGGGCGCGGCTCATGTATTTATTACTCGCCGGCGAGAGCTCGCTCGCTCTTTCGCGCGAGCGAATCTGCCGGTTTTTGTTTCACCGTGCACGCCTTCCATCGGTGGGGTTCACTGTTCAGGTGCCACTGGGCCCAATGTAAAGGAAGCCGAAGGGAGGATGTTCAAACAGTGATTCAATCATGTTGAACTAGCTGGCCCCCACCGGAAAATTCGACAGTTTGATATGGGGGGAAGCGAGCTTGCACGCGGCATAGGCCTAATCTATGGACCCACTCTTGAAAACCATCGGAAACCACAACGGAATACCACCATTTTGGGGTTCCCTGAATAAGGAACACCCAACCAGATATTCCCATGGATCCCTTCCACCTTGCGAGAAAGGCAAACCAACGGCATCCCCAGAGTTCTCAGCTCCCGGTCCCCCAAAAATTCGGCCGAGTCACAGGCAGCATGGGGTTAGACTGCACCGAAACCGAAAAGCGCGCGAGGCGCGCGAGGGACGTGTGAGGCACGGTGCTTTGTGAAGATCGGGGGAGGGGAGGCCGCGTTTTGGTTTCGGGGCTTTATGGAGGTATGTTTTTTTTGTTTAAAGAGTCGGAAGCCTCTGACAAAAAGGTTGGTGGGCGTGAATCAGGACCCCGCATTCTGATGTGCAGGGCTCGGTCCACTTGAAATTCATTCCCATGCCTCGAATTCAGCGGTAACCTTTCAACCTTAAACTCGTTGCTTCTCCCAGCCATCCCCGTAGCCTTTTAGCTTCTTAGTGTGTGGTAGTTTTCGTTCACCCCACTAAAAGTTAAAACTTGGGGGCATTCACTGCACCAATTCGTCTGACCAACCGTTCGTGGTTCGTGGTGACTTCACTAATGGCCACGTAACGAACCATCATCATGCGGGGCACTAAAAGTTAAACCTTTCACGGGGGGGTTGAGGGCAGCCCAGGTTGGCAAGGGGCCGCAAAGCGCGCTTTCTGTCAGGTGAAAGGGTTGGTGCGAGGGATTGGGTCCTGCAAATCCCGTCTGGGTTTGGAACTCTTCCCTTTTCAGCCGGGTCAGGGGGTGCATCCTGTGAAACCCAAAGGGAACATGGGTTATAGTTGTTATAGTGGGAACCTTTGGTGGTAACTGAGATCTGGCGGCGTAAAAGATGTGGACTCAAATGATGACACCGATTAAGTGACGACCCAGGTCAGCACTTGCCACCTGGTGTTGCCCTGTCACCAATCCATATGGGTGGCGAGCCCACTTTTTTGAGGCTCCGTACCCGGTCACCTTGGTTTAAAGGGGAACCAACCGGAAACCCCAACAATCCTGGGGTGCCCCATGCCATATCCCAATCCCGTCATTCTTAAGGAGGCGATGGATTTGGTACTGAATGGAAGTGCTTAGCAATTATGCCCCACTTCGATAGGTCGGACATCGATCACGTGGTTTGCTAGCCACTTTCTTGCCTAGCTTCTGCCCGTAGCAAATGAGGGAAGGCACATCCATTGAACTTTAATTTTTGTAACCCGCCCTCAGGACTGCCACCTGTGTTTGACCTCCTTTGGGGGGAGGGGTTAACAGGGGGGTTCGCAAGATAATTTAAAGCGAGGCCAAAAAGGAAACCCATTGTTGGTGGCCAAAAGGTTCTAAGAAACTTTTTCGGTGAAAGGTTGGCTCGGTTCTCCTCTGAATCCCGTGCATTTTGGTCAACCGGAAGTTTGACAGCGACCGCAGCTATGTTTGCGCCGGGCGGATTGACGCCATGGCGGCACTGCGGGGCCCGAAGCTTAGGGCTAGTCCGCATCAAGTGATGGCTTAAGTGGATGTGTCCCCCGTTTCGGAGGGTGCTAAAAAGGGAGACCCACAAAAAAAATCCGGGCACTCTGAGTGGTGTATCTCAAGACATTTGGCATCTTTCTTTATATTTTTTGTTATAATATACTTTCTATCTACAAACGGTCTGATTGCTTGTTGGCTTTGGGAGAAGCGGTGAAGTGCCCCATGAGATGTGCCAGGCTGTAGGTGCCCCGCCGCTTGCTTCAGGGGAGTCTCGCCGGTTTCTTGATCAATCCCCATCCACCTTCTCGCCCGGTCAACGGAGAGTTTTGTGGATCGTTCCATTTGCCCTGTGCTTGGATCAACAATCCATCACCCCATTCATCCTTTTTAGCTGATGGCAACCGTTGAGCAGTTTCAAGGTGTCGCCCGTTCCTAACCTTCCCACATTCCCCTTTGCATAGTGGTCTAGGTGTCCATGTTTCAATGTTTGACCATGGACTCCCGACACTTGAAGGCGCGCAAACATGAGGCGAACCAACTCTCCGGGCGATGGACCGTGCATCCATGTCACGCTAGCTGAGTAAGAAATCCAGTTCCTCTCCCAGGAAACGGCAGCTCACATCTTGGGGTCGCGTGCAGACAAACACTTTTGGGTGGCAGACTTCATCGCTCTTGTCAGAGCCCCACAAGCTTGAGCTGATTTCCAGTCACGCAGCAGGTCCGACAAGGAGGTTGGACACACTACCCCTGAATGGGTTTTGTTTGCTTTCACTGCTCTTTGAAGTCCCTGTTCAAGTTTTGCATCCATCCACAAAATCAGTGCAAATCGTGGCAAATCGCTTCAGAGTTGCCCCAGCTTGATTCCCCATCAGATCATTTGAAGATGGAAAGTTGAAGTAATGGAATCGAGTCTTGAGCCCGTAACGTGTTGGCCATATGGCAACCACAATCTTGTGGAAAGGTTCTATTTATTGACTAAGGTCGACTTAAACCAAAGCGTGGCTGATTTTTTGCAACAAGAGAACCCCTGGGTTGTTTTGTCCACCTTGGTTCAACCAACCAATTAAAAAACACCCTGTCTTGGGGTGCCCCCCATATACTTGTTGGTCTCTCCCTCTCTCTCTCACGGTGACCGGACTGCCTTTGGCCGGCTATAAACAGGCGGCTGGACTAAACTGAGCACTCCCATTGCTGGAGACCCTGAGGTGAAAGGCCCCCTTTCAGCGGGCAAGCGCCCGGCAAAACAACCCAGGCGAAGTTTGCGGGGCCTCCACAAAAAACATGTCACTGGTCTACTTCAAAAGATCTCATGTTTCACAGGCATACAATGTCGGGATCATACTGAAGTCTGGCGCGCCGACATTTCGCCATGGCTGCACAGCACGCAGTTGAAGATTCTAGACAAAGCGGCACTTTGCCTCACAGTGAATGCTATAATCGGAGCCTTCACATGATTTTTCCAATTTGCTGAATCAATGTGTTGGAGCTACCTATCAGGTCGAAACGAGTCGATCCATTGGCAATCATTTGACCCACACAGCGCAGCGCCTTGGGTCCACAGTTCGACTCCGCAGAAGTCGCACAGTCTGTTTGGACAGCTGATGTTGCTTTTGTGCTGCAAGCCCATTCTCCGCAGTTCAAGAGATCTTTCTCGTGCGGGCCATGTCGCTGGCCTCAGTGGGCTCCTTGGTGATCGGCACCTTGCTGGGGTTTCTTTTCTTCGCAATCGCCGGACTTGGAAAGTTGCTGCCTCAGCATCCGATGCACGCGGCCCGGCCAAAATTTTGCCCATTGGCACCCTTTTCTCCAGTTTTGTTTTTTTGGTGGGGGGTTTTCCCTGGAAAGTCGACCGGCCAGAAACGAATCATGCTTTCCCCAAGAGTTTTGTTGGGAAAAAACAAGAAGACCACCGGCTGAGGCGGTCTTGAGGTCCACGTTCGACAAAGCCGCTGGGCCCTTCTTCGGCCTTCCCAGCACTTTGCTGCGACTCGTGATCGGCCTGGCAGAGCTCAGTGCTGGGCTCGTCTTCATGGCGGTTCCCTGGGGGGTGAATGGTCTGCCTGCCGACAAGAAAGCTCCTGCAGAGGTTCGGAGGATAGAATACGTCCATTTGCTTAAGACGTTGTTTTTCTTTCTTTTTTTTCTCCCCTTTTAATTTTAAAGGGAATCTATCACTACTGGAAATATATTCTTATTGTTTCCACGCGGCCTAAGCAAATGTCAGAATATGTTTTGTTTTTGTTTATTCTTCTTCTTTTTTGCGGGGTGGACCTTCCAAAGGGAAACCAAGAGGAAGCCAAGGTATTAGGGGAATGCCCCAATTTTGAGGCAAACCCCACGTTTCGATTTCTCCAAAGTCCAAATTAGAAGGTCATTGAAGTACTTTGAGGCAAACATTGAAACTGACCCAGCTGCCGGGCTGAGAAACACCGTTGGAGGCGTTACTCCTATGTGCAATTCTTGGCATGCTGGCCATCATGACCGGGGCACTTCTCTTCAACTGGATTGCAGAACGGCAACTTCAAAAGCTCACACCCTACATTGTGTTCATCACTTTGCTGATACTATTCTTCCGCATCCAGGTGCAAACTACGGACTTCGAGCGACTGCCAGAGGAATGGATGCAGTTCATGTACTACTTTCCCGCATTCTGTGGCGTTGGCATGGCGGCCCAGTTGCCAGTAGCACCCCTTTTTTCTCCCTTTGTCTTTTTCGGAGGGATGCCTTTTAACATCAACCAGCGAAACATGAACACTGTGCCCTGTACATCCCATTGAGGTCGTATCATTGCTGTGGGCGTACAAGTTTGGCATCACCATGGAAGAGCTGCATCAGCGGATGGAAGAAATCCATCAGATGCGGGAGCAGCTATTGGAGAAATAAACGAATCAGGGAGCAGTGGCAGTCCGTGTCTCTGATCCCAAAAGTATTGTGTCTGAGTTTGTCTGCTTGGGTACCCTTTCAGGTTGGTTTCAAAGGAAGCGCCATTTGGACCACCATTTGGAGCGGGGGAAGGGTTCCGTCTATGGCTGACACCCAGTATTTGTTTATTTTCGGCTAGATTAGGCAGTGGCTCAAAATTAAAGAGCTAGGGTTACGCAGGTTTTGTTCCGTGTTTCCACCCACCGATCGGGTGCCATTTTTGGTATTCCGCGATCTGGCCGATCGATTTTCGGGGAAATCCGGGCCCTAGGAGATCCAGGTAAGCAAAACCCCTTCAGCACATGCCTCCCATTGAAGGGTAAAATGAGCTCACCATGACGGTGCTTTTTGCTTTGCTTGGGGAGATTTTGCGGGTTTTTGGAAGTATCACATTTGCAGATTGAATCAAGGGCCAGAAATAGAGCCAAGGATTTTGGACATTGACGAAGGGAATTTCAAGAACCCATTTGGTCTCTCGACTAGACCGGGTCTCTCCCGGTCCACCGCAAGTGCTTTTGGGGAAGTCACAAGCCGATATGGTGATCAATGTGGAGATACTTGTGTATGGGTCAAAATTAAGCCACCAGGGGACCGCATTTTGTTTTGTCAATGTTTCCATATACCCGGGCAACCTACTTTGGGGTTACCTTATTTTTGACAACCACCGTCATTTGTGTAAACACATTTTGCGGTGAGCAATTTGACGCGATCCAAGTAAAGTCATTTGACCAGTGCCTCCGTGGCATTGAGTTGGGCGAAGCGTCGGGAGCCAACCGTTTCCAATCTCAAGGGACCGTCCTCGGACTCAGAGAGCGGTATGGGGAGTCGCAGAAGAAGGCGAAACACAAAATGCGTCTCCCACCTCACGTAGAAAAATGGGGCAGGGAATCCCAAGAAACGTCTTCTTGGGGCTCAAAGGAAGGCTAGGACAACGCCTAAAAGTACTGCGCCATCAAGTAGTACTAAAACAATGCGAACCAGTAGACATTCCACCAACACGCTCTTGATGGCTGTTTAAGCCAATACTCGCAAATGCTTGTTTTTAAGCCATTGTTGGGTCAGGGTTTTAAGACGAGCGATCCCTAATTTGTTTTGAATTGCGTGAAGCTGCCCTTTCAGCAATCACAACACCGCACTACATTGCCCGACTTAATTTCACATGCTTAGTCTCCCTGGTCCGAAGCTGACCTTTTGATCTTCTGGTTTCCTCTTGTTGGTCAGTGAAGACCCCAGGGTTTACCCCAGACTTGAAAGGCGCGGGCCCAAAAAATGGCGGGGTCACCTAAAATGGCCACGGTTTCCTTGTGGCTTCCCTTCTACCAACTGAGAACGGGGGTTATTTTTTTCTCATGGCCCCAAGAGGCGAACCTATCATTTGTGGGTCCTTTGGGCACCATTCCCCTTGCGACACGCTCCAAGTGCTTCTTGAAAACCCGGCCGGACCGAGACACAGAGACTCGCGCGTGCCGAGGTCCTGCGTGTTTGGCGAGAAAAAGGCCAGCGACATCCCCATCTGAAGGCGCTGGTTTTGAGTTGAAGTACCTTCATTCAGAGGCACAGGTGTCCTTTTTGGTTGGTTTGCTTAAAATATAGAGGGGTTCCCCTGGTTTTTGCTGGGGTTTCTTCCATCAGGGCCCTCACCTATGTTCAGAGGGCTTCTCGGGGGTGTGTCCCTTTGAGTCACTTCACCTAGCTCAGCTAAGCAGACAAGCTGTTTAACATGGATAAATATATGTTGCTGCGCTAATGTTGAGAGCTGTTAGTCACCGCTAAATTAGGTTAAGGGCAAGCAGCCATGTTTCTTTTTTGACAGAAGCTCGAAACCAATTATTCTCTTTGGAGACCCATGCGTGTTTGTCTGAAACTAAGGGATCGCTTGAAAGGGTGGGGTGGGTTTCCGTTGAAGGCATTTAACAAAGGTAATTCGCTTCACAGAAAGACACATCTCCTGTTTTTGTCGCGGTTTGTGCCGTTATTCGTAGTAGTATCATTATTATGCAGAAAGGGCTTAGCCGGCGCCCCCCAACCAATTGATCGTTGAGAGGCACCGGGTACCCTTTCCCCATTCTTGTTGGGGAAATTCCCAACCCCAAACGGCGTTGGCCAACTTGTTCGCCCCCTCGGCGTCATTGCGACGCCAGGTAAGAGCACAGCCCAAAGCCCGAATCAAACTGAGGCCTTTCAGTAGTCAACTTCGGGCTGCGTTTGGGTGTGTCAGTCCTTGTGGTTTCCCTCTCGTCCAACCCCAAAGAGGAAACTGAATCTTAAGCCAGAAAACCGCCCAAAACCCCGGGGCCGTTTGCAGTTGCGCCTAGATGAACTGGGGTGCTCCGCCCGCTGCCATGACCAGTGCCTCAGACTCAATTGGCGTAATGCCTCTTCCTTTGCTTTCTCTAGGGAAAGCCTGGCGGCAGCTCAAGGAAACGGAAGTGCACAAGGACCGGGTCGAATTCTGCCCACATTGGCTGACATCTCATCTGTGCTTTACCTCTTGCTTGGACAACTAATTGTCGCTCACAAGGCCATTCCAGGCCATTCACCAGCTCGGATAGACAGATTGGGGGACCTGGTAGTAAGGAACCTCACCGACCATTCAACTCCAATCAAGGGAACCATGATCACATTCCACGCAAGAAGTTGTTGTTGACCATGGCGCATGTGGGTATCCTTTTTGAAACCCATGCGTTCCCAAATCCCATGCTTCAGTGGCTCAGATTCAGAGTCGCCAGTGGGTGTCGTCCTTACCTCGCAATCCAAGCGCACGAGCAGTTGCCCAAAGGGGCCTGTGAGATCATGGCCGTCCTCATGGCGATGGGTGGACAGGAGGTGTTGACCGAGGATCAGTTGGCTCAGGTGAAGGATCGGTCAGAAGGAGCCAACTTCGTGGACGAGCTGAGACGGGAGGCGTCCAACTCGGCTAAAACGAGCCCCCCTGAAATGTTTGGCGCCCTTTTTGGTTTCACTTCGAATACTGGCCAAAGGTGATGTTGTTTTGGGAAAGCATGGAGAAGAAGAATCGCAAAGGCTACCCTCACAAAAAGACACCCACACAGAGCCAAGGAAATGCACAGAAGAATATGGTATCAAATTGTAGACAGATGGGGCTGAGAGAGATCATAATGATAGTTGTCAAAGAAACATGTCACCAATGGATGGGAGAGATTGCGCACGCAGGCATGGCGCCAATAGATCATGCAGCGAGATAGGGATTAACGGGGGGTACCTCAAAAATGGATGTTTTTCTGGTGTCCCTTTAAACCAGGGTGAAAAGGGACCCTCAAAAAACACACACACACACACACACAATGTTGCAGACATTGCTCAGAGAAGCTGAAAGCTTGCTCACAGAAAACTCTCCTGAAGACTTGCGCCCTCTTCTCTGCACTGCGCAACAAGCGCAATCAAATTGCGGCCCGCCGCAGTGTTTGGGCGTTTTGCGTGGTCCCACAGACGAGGAGGCTGCAAGTCGGGTTTTGGTTTTAGGGACTTTCAAGCTCCAGGTTTTGCTTTCGTGCTTTGGGATTTGTTTACATCGTTGACACGCGTTGTTCATGCTTCCGGGTCTGTCTAGTTGCGCGCAACTAGGTTGCCTTCTTCCTTTCTGAGATTCTTTCGAGATTTAAGATCCACTACCATCAGCCGGGGTAATTAGACTTAGGACGCATTTTACATATTACCAATGACTCAAAGTGAAGCCAGAGATAGAATATGCATTCTAGAACTGGTTGCCCAACTCTAATCATACTAGGTTTTCCAGTAGTGCCTTTTTACCCTGTTTTGGCGAAGGGTTCCCCTACTAAAATAGACCACAGAAAAACAAAAAATAGGGTACCGACTATTCTAACCTCAAGCTACTGGAGGACCTAGCATGACCAAAGAAAGCCCCGTTTTTTCTCCCAGAAACTCCTACCAAAATAGACTACAGAAAAAAAGGGTACCAACTTATTCTAATCCCTACCATAGGTGTCCTTGTTGGTTGGTTTGCTTAAAAAATGAGGGCCCTGGTTTAGATGGGGTTTATGCCCCATTTACAAGGGCCATCTATTTTTCCAAAAGGCCACCTATGATCCCTACTACTGGAGGGCCTAGCCTTCCCTTTTTTTCTGCCGGGAAACTTCTCAGGTGGCCAAGCGCTTGGGTCTCCCCAACTTCCGCCAGCTGCAAGTGGTGGAGCCCCAGGAGGGTCGCGCGGAGGCGGCGGAGGCGGCGGAAGCGGCGCCGTGGGCGGTACTGGTGCGGCCGTATGTGGCGCAGGACCTGGCGCCGCACCTCTTCCGTGCGGCTGCGGTGGGGGACCTGGACGAGCTTGTGCCTTGTCATCTCTGACTTTTGGGCGTTTTCGGAGGCTAGAAGTTTCGAAATGTAGGGTAGACTGAATGTGAAACATAGCCTGAACCTAATTATGTTTAGTGTATCCCCAGGTTGGAACAAATTTTGCTCTTGGAGAACGAGCACTGTCCAAAAATGTGGAACACGTTTGCTGGGGGTCACAATCCAGCCCAGGTGCAGTTGCTGGAGCAACCTCCTGATCCAGCTATTTTGAACTCGCCCCAGCATGGGAAAACATCCTTGCAGTGTGCGGCACAGCACGGGCATCTGGATTTTGCTCGTTGCTTGCTCGAAGCCAGGGCTGATATAGAGAGCTCTGACATGTTTGGGTGCACAGCTTTGCATCTTGCCGCGGCGAACAACCACGAGGCTGTCGTGCTATGCTTGCTAGAAGCCAGAGCTGCGCCCAGCAGGGGGGACCGAATGCGACGCACGGCTTTGCATCTTGCCGCTGAGAGGGGCCGCCAGCAAATTGTAGATTGCCTGCTGGCAGCGAATGCAGACACAGGCACGGTCGACTGTGATGGGAACACGCCGTTTCAAATAGCGATGAAATGGGGCCATGAGGCAATCGCACGTTGCATAGAAGCCGCTGAGAAGAGCTGAGCGAAAAACAACCAAGACATATTTGGGTTGCTCCTTGAGGCCGCAGCCTTTAACTTTCTTCTTGACCTGATATCTGGCTCATACATCAATCCCCAACTGAAGGTAAGTCTTTGTGCGATTGTAGAGGCCCAGATTTCAAAAGCGGAAAACACGTACAGCCCACTGGCGCTGCGTCTGGGCGGCTTGTGCAGGCCGTCAAGATGCTTCCCATGAAACTTGGGGCCCAGTTTCACAGTTTCCAGGTGGAAGTCGGAAAAGTTGGCGAGGGGTGGGGTGGGTGGGGGGTAGGAAGGTCTTTCCATTGAACTTCGACCACTGAAACCGGGTGCTTCTTTGGGTAAAATCATTGCATGGGGCCGTGGGGAAACGTGCGGCTTTTTTTTCTCACCCGCTCATGTTGGAGACTCGCAGTAGACTCGCACGACGGCCCGAAAATCATCTTCACAGGCCTGTGTTTTGGTTGCTAGGTCCCCCAGTAGTGCCCCTTTTCGTGTTTTTTAGGGGGAGGGTTCCCCTACTAAAATAGAGAAAGCACGTTGGTACCCTTATTCTAACCTCAAACTACTGGATCTAGAGACAGTCCATGTCTTGTTGTCTATTTTGGCTGGCGTTGGTTGGACGGACTGCACTCAAAACGCAGGTTTCCATGCACAGGGGTTAGCCCTCCTGTCCGACATGAAACCCACCAAATTTCCCCCTCCGAAAGGAACAGGGTTTTCCAGGACACCTCAAAAACATGCAAAAGGACGTGGTTGATCTCCAGAGCCCGTCAAGGAATCCGTTTCGGGCGGCCAAACCGGACGATCAGGAAACCAGTTGAATGGTTTTTGGACACTGGAATGGGTTCCACTACCAAGAAATTTACTATCTCAACGCCTGCGTCCTGCCAAGAACCTGAAGGAAACCTAGTTGGATGGTGAAAACGGGGTTCACAAATATCCCCAGGTCCGAGAGCCAACTAGTTTATAGGAATGAAGGTTCTTTCATTCATGTCGACTTCAGATTAATCCGGAGTGCGCTACTAGTCAGAGGACCCCCCAAAAATAGTGAATGTCCCTACCAAGCCACCCCTGATTGGTGCAGTTCCCCGGATGAATCCAAAGTTGACATGAGGGTGTTTCCTTTGTTTGGGGTGGGTGATTCGTTTTTACACAAAATGTGATGCGGCCGAAAACATGCATTTTTCTCCACGGGTGCTTCGTGTCTGGTTTGGACCACAGGAGGACAAACTTGTCTAGGATGAGGACCTCCAAAGTTGGATCTGTTGCAGTTTGAAGGACCGACTCAAGCCATGATGAATGGTGTCCTTCTTGTTTCCGGCAAACTGCGCTTCCGGCAAACTGCGTATTTTAGCAGTGTGCCCCGGAAATCAGGGTTTCCCTTGCTTGGTGAATGATTTGAGTTTCCCCCGACGAAAAGGCCGTGTGTTGATCTTTCGCGCGCTGCATTCACAAGGTCGGGCCGAGTCGGGCCACTGGCGGGATAGCCTTTGGGGTGCTTGGTCAATATGGGATATGGGTGTTCTCAAGCTTGGAATCGGTCCTGTCCTTTTGGCGTCCTTGAAATACCAACCAAACCGGCCCCGCCACTGTGAGAAACTCTCATATCATCCGCCGTGAAAAAGACACGAATGCTGCTCGCAGCGTTACAACCACTTACCTTGGCCCAAATCTGGGGCACACCAATCATATTATGTTCAGTTTCTGGTCCATATTTAGTCTGCTTCACAATAAAACATTCTCTAAGCAACCATCTCTAGGAAATTCTCAAGGACATTTGCCAAATACTACCCGAAACCAGGGTTTCCTGTAGCATTTCCTGTAGCTGTTTCTTAGACCCATTCACTTCCATTCGCTTAAGAATATTTTCCCCTGTTGGTTTTAAAGGGAATCTATCACTACTGGAAATATTTTTGTATTTTTCCAGACGGCGAAAGCAAATGGCAGTTCACTAAGTACTGAATCGATGGGCCCCAAAAAGTTCAACCTGCTCGGTGCTGCGTCAGGTGCCACTTGGGCGCGGTTAAAAAAGAAGGCGGCCGCAGCAACGGGAGCGAAGTGATGAGCCCCCAGCTAGGTGCCCTTGAAAATCCCTTTTTGGTTGGGAGGGTTCCCCTACTAAGATAGACGACAGAAAAAAGGGTCCCTTATTCTAACCTCTCTACTGGAGGACCTAGTTGGTGCAAAGTTGGAGAGCTCATGGGGGAAAAAAAAAAACGAGCCTCGGCCACTACCTCCCTGGATTGCACAATGGCAAAAACATATACCCACCATATAGCCTTTTGGTAGTGGGGGTTAACCTTGTTTAGAGGGGAACCCACCAAACCAACAAAGGAAGTGCCGCTGAGGAAAGCTAGGTGAATGTCAACTTCCGATGAATCAAAAGGAGGACCATATCTATCAGGCGGAGCATCAATCCAGTTGACACCAAGCGGAAGCTCACCTTTCAGCATTTTTGGTTTCGCTTGTTGCGAAGGCAGCATCACGGCATCAAAAACAATCTAGTGTCCGGTTCCCAACAACTGCTTCTTGGTTACGGCTTTCGGGGGGGATTTTGGGCATGGACAAAATCGCAGTTGCAACGCCCGGGTTCTCAGCGGGAGCAACTCTCCTTCCAGCCGGTTGGGGATTGGGGGTCTCGGATCCCACAATTATGTCATACGGTAGACGGAAACATCTCTGTGGCTTTGTTTGAGGGAACCACCAATGGTGGTTTTCCTTTTGGTGTTCTTTAAATTCACTAAACAAGAGGCACCCTCAAAAAGACACACCCATATGACACAGACTCAGAAACACATAAAGTGTTCGGTGTACTTCAGGTGGCCAAGATTTGGCCGGGTGTTTTGGCTTCTCTCCCGCTAGGTGCCGGTTTGCCAACTTGTTTGGGGGAGGCTTCCCCTACTAGAATAGACTCCAGAAAAAGTTGGTAGCCTTATTCTAACCTCTCTACTGGAGGACTTTGGTTAGTTCTACCGGTGATAAATCCAACCAACCCCTGATCCACTTGTAGCCTTGGTTGTGGCCTAACTAGGGGAAACATCCAAGTTGCTCAAAAGTCTTCTCACCGCTCGAGCTGAAACAAATGAACACCGACCAGCACCCGGGTCCCAACAACTGTTTCTTGGGCAGTACTTGGGGTTTAGGACACGGAGAAAAGAAAGCAGTACTTGGGGGTGCTAGGATGGATTCGGGTTTCAGCGTGGTTGAAATGATACCTGCCATCAATTGTCCAGAAGACACAAACATTTTTTCTTTCGGAAAAGCGCGCTCTCTCCCCACGAACTCGACACAACCTGCTTTCTTTCGTGGGGGGGGGGGGGTCAGTTGGGCGAATCCAGATTCGGGCACACACACACACACACACGCATCGCTGAAAGAGCTCGCGGGCAGCAACGTTTGGCTCATGGCTTTATCCCAGTCTGCTTTCTTCTTACCGTGACCATTGCAACAGGTGAGGCGCAAATCAAATTGCAAGGGGCGCTCATGACATTGGCAGAATCGTGGGTGTGTGTGTGTGTGTGATGTTCAACTTTACTGCTTGGGCGAATTTGATTTCAAGCTTGATCCCGGATTCAGCCTAGATTACATCACGATCCGGATCCCCCAAGATGGAACACTTCCAATTTGCCAATTATCCTCCGCGTCTAACATGGAACCCACCGGAGCGTCCCTTCTGTCAAGTCGAGGAATCGCCCAGCTTCGGCGTCGGGGGGTAATCAACCAGTTGTGGGTGTGGGTCCAAAATTAAACCACCAGGGAACCACAGGTTTTAGTGGTTTCCATTTACCAGGGTGCCGTTTTGGGGTTACCCAATGTTTGACCCAGAGCCTTGTTTTTCCACAGTCTCAACCTGCGAATCTAGTCACGCGAAGTTCTCGGCGCGGCCGCGCATGTCGCTGTCGCGGCCTCGGTCGGAGCTTCCAATCACACTCGACAAGTACCGAAGATCCAATACTCAGTCCCCCAGTAGTGCCCTTCTCTCCCCTTTTTTGGGGGAGGGTTCCCCTACTAAGATAGGCTACATAAGAAAGGGTACCCTGATTCTAACCTCTCCACTGGGAGACTTAGAATACATTTGGCTTGGTCGAAGTATCACGACAGCACCAGGGTGTGTGTTCCGTTTTCCTGTTGTTCGTGGCCAACCTGTGTTGACAACAAAAAAACGCTCCAAAGTGAACCAGGGATGCCCTTGAAGGAAACTGGATCTGTGGTTGTTCCCTCATTCCTTGAGAAGCTGCAAGATTGTTTGGGTTTATCGTGAAAGCCATTACATTTGGCTTGTCACTCACAATTTTGGGTTACATGAAAGTTGTTCTGACGCAAACATGGAAAGCCCACTCCCAACTAAAAACACGAGGTCGCCCTCCTCCGGCGATGCCAATGTCGTCCCTCCGCTTGAGCAGGCTGGCTTGGGGACTGCGGAAAGCGGATTCATGTCCAACCACCTTGGTGAATTCATAGCCGCGAGCTGGAGTTGGCTGTTTCAATCGCTTCGAGGGTGACTTGGATGCAAAGAACGAGGCTGTTCAAAGGTAATCCACAAGATCCTTGCCTTGGGTTACGAAAGGGGTCCCCTTTGTGGCTGTACAATAGGGATTCTGGATTCGGATTGGCCACTGCATTTTGCACAGCCCGGAATGAACTCGGGGCCAGTTAATCCGGATTCCAACTCAAACTCATCTTGCCGCCGCGCTGAAGTGGCGCCAAGCCACCACGGAGTCTTGGCTTCGGACTCAGGCATTGGTTTCTTTGGATGGTGTCATTGTGGTTTGATTCAGTTGGGCTCCTTTTCGCTTGATGTTGGTTTCTCTTCGGCTTTATGTTGATGTCTTTTGGCTTGATATGGGTTTGCTTTGGTTTCCGTCCATGTTGCTTTTCGTGCTCTGCTGCCTACTGTACTGGCGACATCTTTCGACATGGCCAAGTGGAAAACCATGGAAAAGGACGCCGCAACAGAAGCTTACTTACTCCCTGCCCCAGAAATCATGGCTTTTTGGGGCTCCATGTTGGTTGGCAACCGTTCGACCCATGTACCTTTTGGTGTTTGTAGCTGGTTCACTTCGTTACCCAGGGCGGTCTTCGGGGTTTCTGTGGGTGTCCTTTTGGTCTCCTTTGGGTTTCCTTGTCATTTGTCCGACTCCAATACAAGCGTTTAGTTGTGGCTGGAACCAAACTCAAAATTTAAACTTTGAGACGTGTCCCTCAATGTCCATATGTTGGACTTTCAAAAGTTGCGGTTTCAATGGCAACCACCAGTAAATTGCCACTTTTGAATGAGAAACCCAGCGATGTTTAAAAAAAAGAAAAAAGAGCCTTGGTTGGGCTTCCTTTTTCATTGTTCCCCACATGTCCCTTCCGTTTTCTCGGGTGGTGTTAAACATCACCTTTGGGGCGGCCCCATGATGCTTAACTAGGTCCCCCAGTAGTGCCCTTTTACCCTTTTGCGGTGGAGGATTCCCCTAAAATAGACAGAACAAAAAATGGGCTCCCTTTTCTAACCTCAAACTACAGGACCTAGTCACAAATCCCCACCATGATGACCAATGGTCGGAACCCATTCAAATTCACAGCCAATAGACCAGGGGAAACACCCAGGACCTCGGCTTTGAGTCGCGCCTCACCACCGCAGGCGCAGTGGGAGGAGGGCTCCTTCTCGGAGGACTCGAGCGGCTCGCGCGGAGAGAGAAAAATGCCACAGGGTTGACCAAAAGGTCCGTGATACATGGGGTAGTTGGAACACCAAACAGTTCATTTGGGCATTCCCCGGTTTCTTTTGGATTCAGCATTGATGGCGCGTCTTAGTGACTCGGAGCCAACTGAAAGAGGAAAGAGGCTGTTGGTGAAAACGTCCGTGATACACGGGGGTTGGAACAGCACCAAAAAGACGATGCTTCCCTGCGAAATGGGGAATTTGGGTTCTCCACTTCAGCGCAGCTGTTGCTGGCGGCGCACTCGCAAGCAAAAGCCCTTTGCCCATCTTGTTCGCATCCCTCCACTTCCAAGATGTGGAGACGGAAAATGTTGCTAAGCTGCGCGCAGCAAGCGCAACATCCCGATTTTGGACTGCATTGCGGGGCCGCAAGTGACGCCATATTGGGTGACAGCCTCAGAACAGCCCAACCCAATATCTTTGTCGGTTGCTCGGGCGGTGTTTTGTACGGTTTCGTTTCTGCTATCCCCGTTCTGCATTGACCCGGCGTGCGGGTCTTTGGGTCCTTGGCGGTCCTTTGTTGAGGGTAAATGGGACATGCGGATGCAAACTGCTCAAATATGTGTGTATATATATATATATATGTATATATATATATATGTATATGTATCACTTTTTCTCATGGGTTTCTCTGTATATAAAATCATCCCACTGAGTATGAGAGCAGCGCGTTTTGAGCATCAGGATTTACACTCGGAAGAGGAGGCTCCGCAAGGCGCTAGAAAGGGTCGAAGGGATCGCTGGGGGTTTGAGAATGATTAGGTCCCCCAGTAGTGCCTTTTTTTTTTTTTTCTTCGGGGAGGGTTCCCCTACTAAAATAGACGACAGAAAAAAGGGTACCCTTATTCTAACCTCTCTACTGGAGGACCTAGATGAACAGTTTGGGATTCAGAAAAGGCATGGTTGACTTCCATTTGCTGAAGGATATGTAGTATTTCCCCATTTTGGTTTTAACATGGTTTTCTGACTACTGGAAGTATCTGAGGCAAATTGAGGTTGAGTGATTGACTTGTCCACAGCGAATCAACCTTTTGACCTTTTTTGTTTTCCTATTTTGGTCCACATTTAGTGGCACCAACAAGTTAGCCTTTATTTCCATGTCCTTTGAGCAAGCAAGATTTGGGGTCAATCCCGGAAATTCCCTGAGAACCAACCAAATGAGGAAACTCTCAAAGGGTTGGTGTCCCTTTCAATTTCATCTTAGGCCTCCCCCAAAAGCAATGCCTTCAAAACAGTTTTAGGGGTGCAAACAACAGCAACAGTGTTTATAATTTTCCCTCAAACAAGCCACGTGGGCTCCGCTGCAGCACCCCGCTTTTTAGACGAAGACGGCCGACGGGAAACTGAGGCATTTTTGACCAGGGCCAAACTGGAAATGACCTTAGCTCATTTTCAGCTGGGCATGTGCAAAATTAAGGATCGCCCCCCCCCCCCCCCCAACTGGCTGCAACACATGCTCCGTACGGTTCCCTATGCCACAATTCGGGAACACATACGGGGCAGGGTGCTTTTGTGGGGGGCGACGTGAGCGGCTGAACAAGTATTTCAACGTCTAACATGTAGCTCCTATGCCCCCGCCCCCAGTTGCCTGGACCCCGAAAAGTCAGGCTCCATGTTACCTCGGGAGGCTACTCGCTGCGGTCGCAGCAGACTGAAGTGTGGCATCGCAAGCACGCCTCAGAGCACCCCCGTTTAGAGGCGGACGCAACTTTGGACCTATTCCCTAATAAACCCAGCAGCTTCCTCCCACTCGACTCGACAGTAGAGAACCTCCAAAGAAAGACAACATCCAAATGTCCATGCCCGCTTGGCCTGTGTCAAGTTCCACTCCTTTGGGAGGTCGAGCGGTTCGTGGGGAATTTCACTCTGGGAATGAGCCCGAGATCCCCTGCCATACGAACCAACCAGACTCGAGCACCAAACCGAATGTGTAAATTACAGTAGGTTTGGGGGTCCCTTGTTTTCGTTGCAGTATGGCGGGGGCATCCGGGTTTGATCATCTTTCAAACTTCTGAGGGTCGAAGGGGATCAAACGGGGTTTTGAATGAGACGTTTGTCCAGGAAAAATGCATGGTTGAGCGTCTCACCTTTAGATTTTTTGGCAACCGCCAGCAGACCCCGAAAGAAACATATTCTTGGTGTACCAAAGTTTGGCCCAGGAGGACTTTTTCCATTGGCCCCATAGAACCCCCAAACACATACTCGATTTGGGACTCGGAATCTTCTTGGGACCGATTTAAACGAGTTCCCCCTACCCTTCCACCCACTCACATGCAACCTGACTGGGAGGGAGAAAAAGTCCTGATTAGCATCCTTTTCCTTGCAAAAAAACTACGCTTTGGTGGGTTCCATGAGTTCCATGGCTTATAGCCGTTCCAAAGGGAGGTCGCTTCGTTCGTGTTTTTGTTTTTTTAAACGCGGAACTGACTGATGCCCAGCCCTTCGGACCTTCTGTGGATGGAAATGCGAAATCCAGAAATCGCACCACTTGGAACCCATGGTGGACGAACCCGTTGTTTGTTGGAAGTTCCAGGGGAATCAAACCATTCCAGGGTTTTGCTAGGTGCGAAACGGATTTCGTCCATCTACAGTATGGTGCTTATTGGAGGTTTGGGGATTTGAAGCCCCAAGGAATCAATCCAAACCACTCCAAACCCATTCGGGGTTTCTGAACGGTGCGATTTGTTTGGACTTCGCGTCACAGTTCGGAGCTTTTGGACCCCTCACCCGTCAGAACCCACAAGCTGCTGGGAGAAGCTGTGCGCCCTGCAGCATGGGCTCTCCGAGGTTGAGAGGACGAAAGATTCTCTGGGCAGGGCTCACGGGCTGGGCTCGTCAGTTCTGGGGCCCAAGGATGCGAAAAGGAAACCGTTCTTCTTTTTTTTTCTTTCGCCCAAGAATGGTTGGTGCGTAAGGGGAAACTGGAAGGAACACTCTGACATGTGGGGTTTTTGCAGACCCCTGTTTCCTCTCTTTTTTTTGGAGCATGGGCCAATTGAAATGGACTGTGGGGTGAGGGGCTTATCAACCATGAGGCTGCATTCCTCCACGGTATCCTCGCTTCGCAAAAGGCTGTCCAGGCTGCCGCTTCCGTAACTGCAAGGCCACTTGATCAAGGGCATGTTCAGGCAGTTTGGGAGCTATGGAGGTTTCATACCACTGATATATACTGCCTGAAAAGCGGATACTTGTGGCTGAGAAGCCTCCATACCTCCAAAACCCCATTCCTGAAAATACCTCCGGAACGTCTTGGGTTTGAGGTTGCCACATCTTTTTTTGCGCCCAGGAGTCCAATCCTCGAAAATAAAGCCACAACCACGTCCGTTTGCGTCAACATAGTTTGTCCTGTTGGTTGTATATAAAGGGGACTGGAAATCTGCACGGCGTCAGCCTTTAGTATCATACGGGTGATCGACTACCTGGACCTGGTCCAGGGTTGCCGCACGTTTCTCATAAAGCCCTCGATGGTACATGCGGACTGGACGAAGCTTGCATGCGAAGAGTGGACGCTGGGCACTCTGGCTTTCATGGTGAAATATGAGGACGAGGAATCGGGCTTGCCTTGCTCGCAGGCAATTCCGACAGCTTTCCTTTGGGCACCAAAGGAAAACGCTGCAAGCTGGAGCAGTGGAGTGATCACCTTCGTGGATGTGTAAAGGCTTTATCCACTGTGTACAGGCTTTATCCAGGGGTTACCTCCTGCAGAAAGCGGCTTTCGGGTGCTTAGTGCTTGGTAACCAGGAACTTCCGAGCCGAGGTTTTTTTTTAAGGGTGGCTCCTTGGTTACCCTACACAGCAGAATGTCACCGGGAAAGGACCTCACAAGATCAAAGGCTGCAAAGCTCAGGGTCGGCTGATGGACAAAATCCATGACCCAAATGGCGCCACAGTGTGGCCCTTTGGGTCCTGGAAGACTGTTTTCCGAATAAAAGGGACCCACCCTAGGTTCCATGCTATTTGGTGGGAGGGTAGGTAGGTGAGTATTTGTAGGCTTTCATCCATGCCGAAAGGTAAGCGGGTTTTGTCCACTGGCAAAATGGCCCTAGTGACGACACGTCGTTCCTTAAAGGGGGAATTGCTGCCCAGTGGGCATGAACCAACTTAAAACAGAGCATCTTCGAGCGAAGAGTAAGACGATTGGTTAATCGATGAGTTGGTTTGCTGCCCGGTCAATGGGATCTTTGTTAGTCAATTGACAGGTTAGTTGTTTTCTGTTGTTAGTTGGCAAGTTGCTTAGCCATAGGTGTCCTTTTTAGGCGAGCCTGGATAAAAATAGCAGGCCCTGGTCTAGCTGGGTTTGGTGCCATTTACCAGGGAAACCCATCTATTTTTCCAAAAGGCCCCCTATGTGCTTAGTGGTATTAATTTTGTCTCCCGCTTGGTTACGGCCCCGATGGGGTCTTCGGAGCGGCATGCGGCTGCTTCGGCCCGCACGTTCCCCTCCAGTTCGAAGCCGTGGCCTGGACTTTGAACTTTTTGAGAAGGCCATCTGGTAAATAAGAAGCTCAGATCTTGTTTGGCCGAGCCTATCTGGAAGTGAGACCAGGGTTTCTGAACGCAGCGATTTCCAGATTTCGCTTTTCCATCAGAAATTCTCTGGTTTGCGGTTGAATCACCTTCTTGGAATTTGAGTTTCCTTTGGCAGGGCTGGATGTTGGGAACTGTTGGGCGCGACATGGCGCGACGGTGGACTCGCAAAAGAAGCCCTTGGGTTTGAAGCGTCATCTTTTTACCATCCCACCGTGAGCTTCCTGTTGGGCGCCCGCTTTGGATTTTGTCGGCGTGCTTGTGCAGCGGGGACCCGTGCAGTGGCTTGAGGCTCGCCGAGTTTGAGACCAAACGTAGTCTGCAAGTGATGTCCGGCACTTCGAACGAAGTTGGTCCTTCTGAGGCAAAACAATCAACAAAACAGCAACAAACAACAAAGCAGCGGAAAACAAATCAAGGAAGCTCCTTCGGAGCACGTCTCGTACACGTCTCGTGCACGCCTCGTGATGGCGTTCATGGCAATTGACGGTGAGGAGGTAATGACGGCAGCGCAGCTTGCCGAGCCCCGGCTGAGTGGCTGGGTCCCTTTGCCGGTTCAGGGGGAAACCAGTGGAAAACCACCAGCTTGGGAATCCCCGAACTTGCTTTGGAATTTGGGGTTGACTCAACATGAAGCAGAATCCGACTTGTCATTGTGCGTAATCCAGATTTGGGCTGCACAAAGGGGAAACCAAAAGGAGGTTGTGTAGCTTGGGGATTCCCCTTAGGTTGTAAGATTTTAGGGTTTAGTGGGGGTTTCCATTTGACCCACTAGAAGTTAAACTTCGCGGCGGCCCCTGGATGAGAACCAGAAATGGGCTTGTCTTAAAATCAGACCCCAAAAATGGTTGGTGTCCTGTTGGTTTCCTTTTAAATGCGACCAACAGGGGGTCCCAAAAAAGACACCCAAATGGATACACCATGATAAACCCTTGGCTGATTTTGATGAGTTTCATCTATGGGCCAGGTTGCCGGGGTCGACACGGAGTTTTTGGAGCTCCAATTCTTACTTCCCAAAGGAAGCCAAAAAGAGCCTGCTGAATTTCTGAGAAAAACGAACGGTCCTGACCAACCAAACAACCCCCAGTCGGCCTTGGCATGAGGAGTGGGCTACAGCGCCTGAGCGCAGTGGCGCGCAGTTGGTGAATCAGCTCAGGGCGGATTCCTGGCACCAGCAAAGGACAAATATCGCTCACCAACTGAGCCACACAATCAAAACCCATCCGGTTAGTAAGGGGCAGCCCCAGCCGGAAATAGTTGCGGATGTCCGCCTTTCTACTTCGTTGCATGGTTCTGGGTTCAGCATTTGTGTACCAGGTTTTGATCGTGACTCAACTGGTGGGCTAAATGATGACCAACAGGTCCGTGATACCTGGGATGATCGGGGAGAAGTGGTTTTTGTTTCCACTAACCAAGGAAAGGTACCCTCCCACCAGCTAACATGGAGGTGCTAACAAGGACTCCTGTAGAAAGACGACTTTCCTCTTGGATGTTGGTTGGTGGGAGGGTACCCATGGTCATTGGGGGCCAGGAATATTGATCCACCCCCCCCCCCAAGGGTGTAATGCCGTTTCTCATATTGTGGATGGTTGCGCAATCCAGAAATCGCACCACCTGAGGATCCTGGTTTCTGATTTGATTCCCCTGCAAAAGCCAACAAGAAATGGTTTCAACCACGGTTTCAAAGTGGTGCGAAATGGATTCCGTCCATCCACAGTAGCATTCCCCCGTAATCATGACGAAAATGGCTTTAAAGCACCCCGAACCCGTTTCAATGTTTTTAGCTCCAAGACTAGGTCATGGCGCTTTCTCCAACTGGCGGTTGGCGCGGATTTCGTCTAGATGGGTCCGATTTGGGTGTAAACCTCACTTGTCGGCCGATGTGAAGGGCGAGTGTCCAACTTCGGGTGATTGAGGGAAAATGCAGCGAGCCCTGTTTGGTTCCGAGGGGTTCTGTGCTTTACCTCCTGTCACCAGATCGCAGTCTCTGCCCAGATCGGCTCTGGAGTTCGGAGGTGTCGAGGGTAGCGGAGGCTCCGGGGCCTGCTCCCGGGGATCTGATGCCTGGGCAGGTTGTTCTCTTGTTTAGTTGCTTGGCCCTGCTCAATTTTGTAGCGCGCTGCGAAGAAACCGCTTCTTTTTTTTTGTGGCAAATCACGGTTGCTCTGCTGTTCACGCATGTAATTGAATTTGTGAGCTTTCTTTTGCTGTGCGAATACTCTTGTTTGTTTGAATCCGTATCTGCTCTTTGGTTTGACCTTGAAGTCTTGCTGGGAAAAACGGAGGTTTGGAGAGGCCAACCGTATCACAAGTTTCAAGGAGCCCAACCTTGCTCCACAGAAAGCAGTCAGGAAGTGGCGAGGCGGCGGGGTCTGCCCAATTTCAGGCAGATCAAGTTGGTCAGCGAGAAAGGCTGGGGTGATCCAAGCCCTACACATGTCTAAACGGCCGTCCTTTGATGCCAGGGTCTGGTTGTTTCACCGAGACCGCCAAACCGTTTGAACACTGTCCCTTCTGTATGGCTATTTGGTTACTGAGCTTTGCACTTGGCTTTTTGATTGAACGAGGTCGGATTTTCTGAATTGGACCCAGGAACAGTTATTCACTTTTGCAGAGGGGTCAACACCAACCAAGCTGTGGGTTCCCACTTTTGAAGGGGCCAAAGTTTGGTTGTTTCAATAGTTGCCTGAGCTACCCCTGCTGCAAAGGCGACGTGTTGGAAACTGCCGACGGGCTGCTCGCAGGGCCCTTCTACATCTACGTGAGGCCTGCAGGGTTAGACAAACCACAGAGCCAAATTACCAAGAGATGGGATGCCGTAGATTCTGAAGCAACCAGGTCAACCACTGCCATCTAGTTTCTACGAAACAACTAAAAAGACACCCATGGATTTGACGGTAGTGATTCGGGAAGCGATTGCTGCTTCAAAGCGACATTCCTGTTTGTTTTGACTCAATGCTACTTGAAAGGGCATTCCCTTTGCTCACATATCACGGCCAGCGTAAAGACCAACATGTTCCACAACCATTTAACGGCTTCCCATTTCAAGTCCTTGCTTGTTGAAATTGGACATCGATCCCCGAAACCGCCGGCATTTCGACATTCTGTCCAATCCTGCATCGGCATTATTAGCCGTGCAGTAGCCACTATATGTCCAGTCCACACACACGTGTCTTTGGTTATTTAGGAATTGTATATGCGAAGTATGGACATCTATAGGTTAAAGCTGGAATCGTCATCTTTTACAGATCATCTGTCCCAAAAGGAC